GGCAAGGATGACTTGGGCTCCATCTGCTGGAGCATGGCAGATTTCTGGCAGGCGACACTAGGAACTCTTCTGGTCCTAATGAAAACACTGTCATTTGAAAGTATAACTTGGGCTTTTATAGGCACCCAAGAGCCCTAGAGAGCTCCAGACACAGAATAAAGAGGTAGGTGCTAAATCAGATCTTAGATTTGGCTGTTACTCAATATCAGAAAAACAAAAAACAAAAAACAAAAAAACTGAGGTTTTCAGGAAAGTTCCTGTCCTGTTATTTGACATCAAACCTCAAAACATAGTTTACTTTGGGAGGTGGGGTGGGCATCCATTACTCAGGGCGTATTATTTTTGTTTTGTTTCCCAAACAAGTTTTTTTTTAATTAAAATAGATTTTTTTACAATATATTCTGATTACAGTCTCCCCTCTAACTCTTCCCAGTTTTTACCTCCCTCCCTCCCATCCAGAGCTATACCTTTCTGTCTCTCCTTAGAAAACAAACAGGATTCTAAGAGATACTATGAAAATGATTTAAAGAGGGGAGGCAAACTATTCAAAAGCAAAATGTTGTCCTTTTCTTTTTAAGTGTTATTTTGTATTATGTGTGTCTTAGGGTTTCATTTCTGTGAAGAGACACCACGACCACAACAATTCTTATAAAGAAAAGCATTTAATTGGGTGGTTTACAGTTCAGAGGTTCAGTCCATTTTCCTCATGGTGGGACACAGCAGCTTGCAGGCAGACATGGTGGTGGTAGCTGAGAGTTCTACATCTTTCGAAGACAATAGGAAGTGAACTGTCTCACTGGGTATGGCTTGAGCATATATAAGACCTCAAAGTCTGCCTCCACAGTGACACACTTCCTCCAACAAGACCACACCACTCCAACAAAGGCACAACAAAGTGTTACTCCCTTTGGGGACCATTTTCTTTCAAACTGCCACGATGTGTATGAGTGTTTTGCCTACATACATGCATGTGCACCATGGGTGTGTCTGGTGCTCACAGAAGTCAGAAGAGGGTATCTGATCCCCTGGAACTGGAGTGACAGATGGTTGTGAGCCACCAAGTGATTTCTGGGAACTGAACTCAGGTCCTCTGCAAGAACAATAAATGCGATTAACTGCTGGGCCATCTCTCCAGCTCTGCATGCCTTTTGTCCCCAACCTCATTATGTCGGCTCAGTCTTTGAGTTATGTGTATACATCTAAGCTAGAGGGCTTTTCAGTGGCTAAGGAGGGGAAATTCTGATGGCTATGATAAAACAAGAAAAGATGACTCCAATTGGACATTCTGAAGAGGCCCCTGTGTGGAGACCCAAATTACTCAAGGTTAGAGAATCTGAGCTTGCTTTACCCAGCCGGATTGCATAAGGGGGTGATTTGACCACAGGCGTGGTTACCAGGTGTTTGGAAGGGTCTGCACTTGGCTGTATCTAGCAAGGGGGGGGTCTTTTGCCTCGTCCCTTGGCATTGCTATTATAAAAAGTCTTTTTTGAATAAAGTTCTGGGCTGGTGGATTTTGACCCAGGCCCCCTGAAACTATCCTGTGTTTCTATCTTTCTTCTTGTCCACTAGGTCTCTCTTTCTACCTGATATTTTCTTATCCCCCTCTCCTCAAGAGTACCCAGGGTAAAATGGGGGCAGGTCCCCCACATCCGCTAATGCAATTTCTTAGACACTGATCAAAGCTTTACTTACAGTGCAGATAGTGGAGTTGGAAGGGTCTGGGCTCCAATCCAGGTGCTCTGTTCTTAAGCCCCATGTCTTGGGACACATTTTTTTAACTGCATTAGCTTCCTCATGCCCAAAACACAGGATCATAAGTGAGGCTCTGGCTATGTTAGTGGTCCAGGTTCTTAGGGACCTCTCAGCTTAGTAGAGAAAGGAGTAAAGTAAGCACATGTTTTAATTTAAGCCTCTACTTCACGCCTTTGATGGTTACTTTTCATTGCTAAATTGACTGGTAGGATAGATGTAGGGTCACTGTGGAAACACACTTGAGAGTGTGTCTATGAGGGTGTTCCCAGAAAGGTTTAACTGAGGAGAGAAGACACACTCTGAATCCTATGGGCTGGCTTTCTGAATGGGACTGAATACACGGAGAAATAAATGAATACTGAGAACAGTATTCAACTCTCTCTCCTTCCTGACTGGATAAAATATGACTACCTGCCTCATGCTTCTATCCTTGCCACAGTGGACTGAGTCTTTCCTTAATCCCTGAGACAAAATAAATATTTTCCTCCTTAAGTTGCTTTTGTCAAGTGACCAATGAGAAAACGTATTAATATAGTGTCATCAACAGGGGTTAAGAGCTGGTCCTATGGGACCCCGGAGGGTGGGCAGCTGCCTCGGTCTCAGGAGAGAGGAGAAGCTGTGGAGAGTTTTCAGGCTGAAGACTTCTGTGATGAATCCTGAAAGATGAGCAGATGTTAGCTAGAAGAGAGAGGTGGTGATGGTACGCAGGCAGGAGAATCATTATTTCAAGTTTCAGGGACAACAGCCAGGCTCAGGAAACTCAGAGTAGCTCAGAAAACAGAGTGATAGGTTTAGATTTGCCAGAGAGGCTAAGAGAAAGGGAAAAGAAGGAGCTAGGCTGAAGACCACTCAGTTGACATAAAGTTAAATAAGGTAACATGTGGGATGCATAACTATTATCATTCCTTCTCCCTATACCCCTGTGTAATGAGAAAGACATTCTGTAGTTGGGAGCTCTTTACGGTGAAGGATGCTTCTTTTTTCTTTTTTTGAGACAGAATCTCTCTAGTCTTTGCTGGCCTGGAACTCCCTCTGTAGACCAGGCTGACCTTGAACCCTTAGAGATCTGTCCGCCTCTGCCCCTGAGTGCTGGGATTAAAGGCATGTGCAACTACCTTCTTGCAAATGAAGGATTCTTTTTTGTTTGTTTTTTTGAGTTAGGGTTTCTCTGTGTAGCCCTGGCTGTCCTGGAACTCACTCTGTAGACCAGTTCTGACCTTGAACTCAGAGCTCCACCTGCTTTTGCCTCTAGAGTGCTGGGATTAAAGATGTGCACCACTGCTTAGATGGCTAAGCAAAGGATTCTTGAACAAAGACAGTAACTTGCTCCCCAAGGGACAGAGGACCAGTGTTAGTTGTCTATGTTTCTGTGTTGAGGGAAGCCTTGTTCCGGATGTTTTCAGAATGCCTCCTTTCCAGCAGCCTCCCTTTGTTACCATTTTCCTGTCCTTTCCAGGCTTTGTCAAAAGTGTGTTTCTGTTGTGGATTTGCATAGTGATGCGTGGGTGTGTTGGGCAGGAGTAGGCGTTGATAACAGCTGAGATTACAGTAAATAAAGTGGATTGAAAGCAATTGTTTGTAAAGAAAAATACTTGGCAAAAGTACTTGGCTGTCAGGTTTGATAAGGCTTGGGCAGGCAGGGAGCATGGCGGATTATGTCCTAAGCCTGTTGCTGATGGGCAAGAGTAACAGTAGGTGCTGCAGAAGGAAGAAAGGGAAGGGGGAAGGCTCTGTCCATTAGATCCTGCAATATCCTAAATGAGATGCACGAATGTGGAGTGAACTCTGAATATCTGCGGGGTTCCCATGTCTGTGGCGTCTGCACACGTGTGTGGGCCCACATCCTCTGGTTTGAGCAGCCACAGATCAAAAATGTTCAGAAAAAAAAACATGCATCTATGCTAAATACGTTCAGACCTATTTTTGTGTATTGTTCTCTAAACAATATGGTATACCAATAATTTAAATGGCATTAACATTGTCTTTGGCTAGTGTGAAGAGTCTTGGCATGATTGGAAGAGGTGGGAGTCCTTAGGTTGAGCGAGTTATGGCAAATTCAGAAAGACAGATCCCACGTTTTCTTTCTATGTGGAATTTGGTTCAAAAGAACAAAAAGGCCAGGCCTGGGGAGGTGGTTTGGTTTGTAAAACATGTGCAGCACAAGCGTGAGGGTCCTGGATTCAGTCTCCAGCACTCATGACAAACGGGGCATAGTCCCATGCAGCTGTAACACAATGCCACAAACTCGGTAGTTTATAAACAACAAAACTTGCTTTTCCAGTTCTGGACACTGGGAAGCTTAAGATCAAGAGGCCAGCGTATTTTTCGGCTGGTGAGAGCTAGCCCTTTCCTGGTTTGCTGATGGCCACCGTGGTGAATCTTCACCCAACCAAGAGAGCTCTGGTTTCTTTTCCGTTTTTTTTTTTTTTTTTTTTTTTTTTTTTTGGTTTTTCGAGACAGGGTTTCTCTGTGTAGCTTTGCGCCTTTCCTGGAGCTCGCGCTGTAGACCAGGCTGGCCTCGAACTCACAGAGATCCGCCTGCCTCTGCCTCCCGAGTGCTGGGATTAAAGGCGTGCGCCACCACCGCCCGGCTCTTTTCCGTTTTTTCAAGGCATTGTAATTCTATTATGGGAGCCCTACTCTAATGGTCTTACCAAAACTCAATCAGTTTCTGTCCTGCTTTCCTCTCTGTCGCTGTGATAAAATACTGACCAAACCAGTTTAGGGTTTTTCTGTCTTAGAACTCCATATCACAGTCCATCACAGAGGGAAGTCCCGACAGGGACCCAAGGTGAGAACCTGGAGGCAAAGAGACCATGGAGGAACACTGTTAGAAGTTCTAGGACTCATGTCTCTTCTCCGCCAGACCAGTGTGCTCCGTATTGAGGCTGATCCTCCTACCTAAAAGCCACACAAGGAGCAGAGCCACAGCTGGCTACACAGCGGCTAGACAGTGAGAGCTGAGGATTCTGGGACTGCTGGCTCCCAGGTAGCTGTGTAATTAAGCGGAGGTGCAGGAAAGGTAGGAGGGGGAGCCACTTCCATCACATTGCAGCTATCTTTAGGGAAGACAAGAATTACCGTGGTTTTGTGAGGGAAGCTGTAGAAAAGGAAGCATGTGGGAGATTAGAGGGACGCACTGGAGGAAGGAAAGCCGTTTTGGTCCCAGAGGTTTTTACACGATCGAACTTCATAATTAGAAGAAAATGAAGGCGTTAGTGACATGGGTAAGAGGGGAACAGCCTGGCAGGAGGAAATGCCTGACTACGGTAGGGAAGTATGAAAAAGGATGTTTTCTATAAAAAGAGCATTTAGGTGGTGCGGTGCTGTGTATGCCTCGGAGGGGTTTGGATTTAATCCTAAACACTCTGGGGAGCTAATGAAGAGTTTTCAGTGGGAGTGATAGGATCACATTTAGACTTTAGATTGGAGGGAACAGTTGATCATTTCGGCGATAGGATGCGTGGAAAACATTTGCTGAGCCGCTGAAAGGAGGTTGTGAGGGCCGCTGCCTGGGAAGGCGCCTCGGTAGGTTGTTAGTAAAGGTGTTCTGGGCCGACAGCATCAAAGGCAGCAGCAGCTGATTCCACTTTCTACTGAAAAATATATAGGGTGGTAGCTGAATATTTTTACCCTTTTAAAAGGGAGCAACGTGAGCTCCTCTAAGCGCATTTTAAACAAGTGCCTTGCAATTCTGCAATGGTGGAATTACCACGCAGCTGAGCACCATTAGCTGCCATGGTGATCTTTGGAAACTTGGCGATTTTTTTACTCTTAATGATGCTTTAATATATTCATATAATGGACCACCTGTTGGAGAAAGGAAGTGTAGGGGATACAGATGTTTAAACGTAGCTGGTTAGGATATGTTGAGACTCTGAAAATTCACTCTAACTAGGTCTCTATCCAGTTGGTATGAGTGATCTGTCAAACCCAGAGCGTTTCTGGTCAGAAAGAGGAAAATCAGGGTTGTTATACTTGCTTCCTTTTGCTTAAATGCAAGTAAATTCTATCCATTTCACAGTGTGCGTTTGCAGAGAATCATTTGCAAATACCAGCTTGAAATTTCTCTTCTTGTTTATTAGAAATACAGCATTCAAATATTAAAGTAAACCATTTATATTTTAGGTAAAATACAATTAATATTTTAATATAAAATATATGCACCCTGAGGTTTAGCCAATGAAGGTAGTTTTTGCCTAGGCTTACTGGCTGAATGGTGGATTGACTTGATACATATTTTGATATAAATTCTGGGTTTAAACGGCATGTTATATGAGGCTACTTTGGAATTTATTTCAACAACAAAAACACTTTTATGCATAAATAAATTAATATATACCTTATTAAATGGAAATAAGTTAAACTGTGCCTACGTAATATTTTAAGATATATTGATCTAAGGCAATATCTTTTGAGATAAAATGATTATCATAGATTTAGTAAAATGTTGAAATAATTTTAGGGAGAATGTGTTTTTTATTTTTTTTTATTTTTTTGAGACAGGGTCTTACTATGTAACTCTAGCTGGTCTGGAACTTACTATGTAAACCAGGCCAGCCTCAAACTCAAAGACCTCTGCCTGCCTCTGCCTTCTGTGTGCTGGTATTAAAGGCATGCACTACCATGCCTAACAATTTTAAGACATCTTAAGAAAGCTTATGGAATTTCATTTAGGTGTAGTGCTACTGGGCATGAAGTCTCATTCACCCCAGGCACTAAATGCTCCACTACTGAGTTACATTCCTAGCTCTGAGGTTCCACATTATTATAAGGGCCAAAGGCCAAAGGTCATTGTGCTATGGGGGAGCAGCTGAATCCAGAAAAAAGAAAGAGTTAATTATCTTTATACTGCCTCATCAAACCCTTACATTGCACTTTATTTTTTGAGAACAGACTAGTATCAAACTTAACTATGTAGCTGCCGCTGGCTTTGAACTCCTGATCCTCCAACTAAGTCTCCTAAAGGCCTGGATTATAGACTTATACCACCATGCTGGGCTTCCTTAGACCATCTTTCCGAGGTGGTGCGGTAGAAGTGAGGAGAGCGAGGCTACTGGGTTTGTGGCCTTGTTCAGAATAACTGTGCAAGTTACCTGTCCTATTGCCTTCCAATCTTATTTCAGGGCATTGCTACTCTGATCTAAAAGAGCAGCCATGAAGACCTGAAGGGGACGGTAGAATGGAGAAGGAAGTCCATTGGAAGTACTGAACAGGAGCGCTGTTGTGTAGGAAGGTAGGAAGCAGGTACTGGCACACTGGGTGGATGGGGGATAGTAGTCAGTATAGTTCTGGATGCCTTGTGCTGCAGGATGCTGAAATGATAATGTCTGCTTGGGGCTTCAGATCCTTGGAAAGACCCCTCTGATAATACTGAGCAAAGGGAATGAGAAAATACCAAAGCACCGTTATGTCAGACGATAGACCTGCAAGGCTTGCTGCAGGAATCTCCTGGCAGTGGATTCAGCGGAGGTCTCTACATCATAGAAGGAGACTTGAATTATGTTGCTGTGATAAAATACCATGCCCAGGGCAACTTACAGAAGAAAGAGCTTGCGTGGATTTACAGTTTCAAAGGGGTAACATCCCACCATTGCAGGAAATTGAAGGGGGTGGTGGTAGGAACAGCTGAGAGCTCGCATCTCCAACTGCAGGCAGGAAGCAGAGAGAGAAAATTGGGAATGGTGCATGGCTTTGAAGCCTGAAAGCCTGGCCCTAGTGACATACTTCCTCCATCAAGGCCACAGCTGCACTTACCCACCACCAACGATGGACCAAATATTCAAACATCTGAGTCCATAGGGTGGGTGGGACATTCTCATTCAAACCACCACAGGACTGTCCTAGCTCACCTCTCATCAAAGCCCCCAACCTGATGTTTAATCCATGTCAGACCAGCCTCTCCTCTTTGAATACAGGTGTTCCTTCTAGGTTTTGCTGTCTCTACAACCTGACATAGTCTGAGGGGACATTCAAGGTGCTTTTTTTTTTTTTATTAAAAATTATTATTGGAGCCAGGTGGTGGTGGTGCACCCCTTTAATCCCAGCACTCAGGAGGCAGAAGCAGGCAGATCCCTGTGAGTTTGAGGCCAGCCTGGGCTACAGAATGAGTTCCAGGAAAGGCACAAATCTACACGGAGAAACCCTGTCTCAGAAAAAAAAAATTATTATATTTTATTTGTATGGATATTTTGTCTGCATGTATGTGTATGTACCACATGCATGCAGTGCCTGAGCAGGCCAGAAGAAAGTGTCAGATAGCCTGGGACTGGAGTTACAGACTGTTGTAAACTGCCACGTGTGTGCTGGGAATTGAACTACGGTCCTCAGGAAGAGCAGCCAATTATCTTCAACTACTGAGCATCTCCCTAGCCCCAAGCATTCTTGGTATTGTTCTAGGTGATGGACCACTTGGGGCTATGTCAGAATCAAGTATTTAGCTCTGCTGTGAGGAACTTGACAAAGATGTGTGGTCATTGCTGAGCTGACCTCTACAGAGAACTCTTCTGGAATTCTGCGACTGCCATGGCAGAACCATGGCATCCTGTGATGCTGAGAAAAGTCTGAGTGTGGGGAGGCGGGGAGGGTATTTGCATTTGCCTTCTGCTTTGAGGCAGAGACTCGAGTATTATAGTGATTACCTTTAATGGGAATAAAAAGCTGTTCATAGCACGCTCCCCCTCCCTCCCACTGAATAGTGGAGCTGGGCCTTTATAGGTAAGAGATGAGTAAGTATGAAAAGGCAGGGGGTGGGTAGTAGATAGGAGAAGGGCAGGCTTTAAACGCAAATGAAAAGAATTAAGAGGATGGGAGAGAGGCAGAGAAAGAGCCACAGCAAAGGTTCATCATATCTGCAGGAACAATGAGAATTTACCTTAGGAAAGGGCAGGAGGTGTCAGCTGATACCTAACATTGTCTGACTGTGAAAGGAGTAACCTTTCTAGGGAGCAAGGGAGTTGACACAGGGAAGAGCAGGCAAGATGTTGCTCTTTGCGGGGCCTAGAGAGAATGCCACTTTTATTAAAATAAGAAAGGTCGGATGAGACAGGTGCTGAAAGTGGGCGGAGTTCTAGTGGAGTTGGTCATGGGTTCCAAGGAAGAAGTGCCTCCTTCCATGCTGGCTGCTGGAGCCTTTTGTAACTGCCTGCAGTGAAACCTGGCTGGGTACCACTCAGTGAGCTGCGATCCTCTGACCAGCCTCCTCATGATGGATAGCCAGCTACGTTCCTTTCAAGTTTAATGGGAACACACGGCGCTAAATCTCTTTGGGCTCTGTGTGAAGGAGCTTGGGTAAATTATAAATATGCAGGTTGGATGATGAATTCAACACAATCAGAAATCCGTACGGTATGGTTTTCTCTGTAGAAGGCTGTGCAGTTCTGATTAGTGGCCAAGGATACTCGTTCCCAGGGTAATGTGGGCATACTTCACAGTTTCTCCTTTGTTAGCTATTAAAACTCATTACTTGGTGTCTAGTTTGCTTTCTAACGCTGCGATGAACACCGCGACCAAGAGCAACTTAAGGAGAAAGGGGCAGATATCAGTTTACAGTTTATTGTCCATCATGAAGGGAAGTCGGGGCAGGAACCCAGAGGCAGGACCTGAAGCAGAGGCCATGGAAGAGTGCCTCTAACTGGCTTACCCTCTAGTCTCATGTTCAGCTACTTATAACTTTCAGGACCACCTTCCCATGGATGACATCACCCAAAATGGTGGGTGCTGGGTGGTCTCCCATCAATCACTAATCAAAAAAATACCCCACAGTCTTGGCTCCAGGCTAATCTGTTGAAGAAATTTTCTCAGTTGAGGTTCCCTCTTCCTAGATGACTCTAGTATGTATTGAGTTGACAAAAACTAGCCAGCCAGTACATTTGGAGTTCCTTTTCTAAGAAAGGTTGCTGTAATCCTGAGTCCCCTGCTACTTTATAATTCTTTGATTATTCCTAAAAACAAGCAGGACATATTAAAGGTTTTTATTGTTGACTCTGTGAGTTGAACTGTTTCCTGCTATAGTTGTATCTTAAATATCCCCCAAAGGCACATATACTAAAACCTTGGTCCCCAGGGTGGTGGTGTTATTGAGAAGTATTAGAACTTTCAATAGTGGAGGCTTCGCTTTTGGTCCTTAGGACCAAAAAAAGGACCTTAGGTCATAAAGGGAATACCATTGAAGGAGGTTATAGACTTCCAGCATCTTCTGTGGAAGTGTGTGTGTTCCGGTGTGTGTTTATATGTATGGATGGTATGTATGCATGCACATACATGTGGTAGGTGGAGGTCAATGTTGGATGTTGAGTGTTTTCCTCTCCAACTTGTTTAAACAATGTTTTTACATTTATTGATTTACTCACATGTATGTTTGAATGGGTTCCATGGTGTGTGTGTGTAGAGGTCAGAGGACAGCTTTGAGAGCTGACTTTCTCCTTCCATCACGTGGGGCAAATGAAGCTGGTCATTTTTTTTTTTTTTTACCCATCTTTTACACACGCAATCATTTTGCTGACCTTCCACTTATTTATTTATCTTTTATTTTTTGATTTTTGGAGACAGGGTTTCTCTATATAACAATTGTGGCTGGCCTGGAACTCGCTTTGTAGACCAGGCTGGCCTGGAACTCACAGAGATCCACCTGCCTTTGCCTCCTGAGTGCTGGCCAAGTGTGCCACCACCACCTGGCTGTCCACTTTATGTTTTTGAGACAGAGTCTCTCACTGAATTTGGAGCTCATCAGTTGTGCAGGTTGCCTGGACACTGAGCTCCAGAGATCCTCCTGTCTCTGCCTCTCAAATGCTGGGGTTAGAGGTGCGCACAGGTATGCCTGGCTTTTTATGTGGGTATGGGGATCCCAACTCACATCCTTTACCATTTACTAAGTCATCCCTCCAGCCCACAGCACCTCTTCTTCCTCTGTTTTTTATGTTTGGACCACATGCTCACAAAATGATCAACCATCTTTCTGCAGGCCTAACTGATTACGAACTGAAACCTCTAAACTGTGAGTCAAAACAATGCTTTTCTCTTTAGAAACTGGTTTGTGTTACACTCTGGATCTGGAAGGTCACCAGAAGCTGGTGGTCCCCATCGTGGCAGTGTTCAGACGTGAAACCTTTGGAAGGTGATTGGATCATGAGGGCTTTATCAGCAGATCAACCCACTGATGAATTCATACTCTGATGGCATCATCGGGAGGTGGCAGAGACTCCAGGAGATCCAGCCTAGTGGGAGAAGTGCTTCATCCAAGGCTGGCCCTGGAAGGTATAGCATATCCTTGGTTACTAACATGTTTCCGTTCTTTGCTTCCTGGCTGCCATGAGGTGAGCAGCCTCTTCTGCCATACTCTCCTACCACTGTGATATTCTGTTTCAAATCAAGTCCAAAGCAATGGAACTGGCCAATCTTGGATTGAGACCTCTGAAACAGTGAGCCCAAATAGATCTTTCCCACTTATCATTTTTTTTGTATCAGGTATTTTATTATAATGAAGGAAAACTAAATCCAATTACTTGAGTATTTGTCATTATGTCAAGCTAACTAAAGTGTCCCTGTATCTATTTCCCAATGTGACCTCATTTGGAAACAGAGTCGTTGCCAATGCAATTAGATGTAGTCATACTGAAGCAGGGTGGGTTCTAACATCATATTATTGGTACTTGTGTATAAAGTTAATGTTTGGGACACATATGTGCACAAGAAGAATGTCATGGGATTGTGAAGAGGCCTAGAAGTGATCCCAGAGAACACCTCCCAGGCCCTTCAGAGCAGCCAGACTATTTATCTTCTTAGACTTTTAGCCTCCAGGTCTATGAGATAGTTCTTCTGTGGTTGAAGTTGCCCAGTATGTGGTACTTTGTCATGGCAGTCCTGGCAAATGAAAAGTGACCATTGTAAGTAGAGATAACAGATGTGTGGGCATTGCAAAGGTAATTAAAAGTCCAGTGTTTTGCAAAAGCCTCTTTCATCTTTGTCAGAGATTGTTGGCTTCAGAATGTCCCTTGACTCTTGCTTTTAAATTATATCTCCATCCCCAACAACCTAGCATATCTCATTTGGAATTATTCAGGGTCATTGTATTATGTATTACATAATGGAATATGTTCTTTGTCCGTATCATTTTTTTCCTTATCTTGGTTTGCTAGCTTTGGATCTGTGACTTGAGTTGGACAGTGGAGCACAGGTGGCTATGACGAACATGCAGCATGCAGAAGCTTTGAATGTCATGGTTGTAAGTGCATTCACCTTGCTCTCTCCTACGGACACAAGCAGAAGGCATGCTTCATCTTTGAGCACCTCTGTCAACTTGGGTCCCTGTGTAAGATGACTTGTAAAGCCTACCCTAGCAGAATTGGAGAAATACGGGTTAATAATAGTAGTGGTTCATTTATTATTACAATAGAATAAATAGTTTATGCTGGAGTATCAGAGTCCGTGGCAGGCATTGTTTTACATGGGTGGGGCCACCACACCTCTATCCATCCTGAGGGAATGGAATTAGAGAGCTTAAATAGTTTTCCCTGAGCTAGAAGTAGCAGAGCTGTGAAACGAACCTGTTGACTCTAAAATCAGTGTTCTTCCCCTTGTCATGATGCCACCTGTCACCAGCCATTTCTTTTTTTCTTTTTCTTTTTAAAGATTTATTTATTTATATATAGTGTTCTGCCTGCATGTTTGCCTGAAGGCCAGAAGAGGGCACCAGATCTCATTTCGGATGGTTGTGAGCCACCATGTGGTTGCTGGGAATTGAACTCAGAACCTCTGGAAGAACAACCAATGCTCTTAACCTCTGAGCTATCTCTCCAGACCATCACCAGCCGTTTTTGTTCTTCTGTTTATAGCTGAGTATAGCTGAGTAATCACCACTATGCTCAATTATGCGCCTCTGGTTTTTGTCAAAAGTGGGCCCCCTGATGCCATGCTAGTATCCAGAGCTGGAGTGGAGTTCCTTGGGGGATCTGGATGTAGCCTCCTTAGGGTGTCCTTCCACTGGCTCCCAAACAATCTCTTCCTTCTTATAGTTCTTTCAAACCTTCCCATCTCCTCACATCATCTACCTGTCATCTACAGTCTTAGCCAATGATCTGGTGTATTCCCTAAGAGTGATCCTGACACCATGGCAGGTGTGAAAATCACCCAAGGACAGTTCTGTTAAACACAGTGCTGGGCTTTACTATACTCAGCAGATCTGGGATGGTGCCGTGGACCAAGTCTTGAGTGAGTTCTCTGGCGTTGCTTATGATGCTCTTCCAGGGCCAGCAGTTGGAGGTCCTGCCTCAGAAACAATGGCATCTAGCCGGGCGGTGGTGGCGCACACCTTTAATCCCAGCACTCGGGAGGCAGAGCCAGGCGGATCTCTGTGAGTTCGAGGCCAGCCTGGGCTACCAAGTGAGTCCCAAGAAAGGCGCAAAGCTACTCAGAGAAACCCTGTCTCGAAAAACCAAAAAAAAAAAAAAAAAAAAAAAGAAAAAGAAAAAGAAACAATGGCATCTATTGAAAGGCAATGTCCACTCAAATTTGTCTCTGCTACTTTTTTTGCACACCACCTCCCACGTTGACATCTTTCTTCCTTTCTTCTTGTAAGAGAAGAAACTCAGTTGCTACTACTTGGGACCTGGGTCTTACTTCTGTTTACTGCTACAGAGGTGACCAAATCCTTTTTCACTCCTCCCATTTTCAATCTGTTTCTCCTTTATTGGATTTCCCTTCTGAGTATGCACATAGCCCCTAAGTCTTTCCCATTTTGTATGTAGAACAACAAACAGATAACTCTTCCTTGATAACACACCTTCTGGATGTTTCTTGAACATTTAAGACTGTTTCTTGAAAGAATTGGTATACCCTGCCAGGCGGCAGTGGCACACACCTTTAATCCCAGCACTTGGGAGGCAGAACCAGGCAGATCTCTGTGAGTTTGAGGCCAGCCTGGTCTACACAGAGCGAGATCCAGGACAGGCACCAAAAACTACACAGAGAAACCCTGCCTTGAAAAAAAAAATTGATATACCTTATTGCTGTGGGATAATGCTTTTGTACACTGGTTTAATAAAACACTGATTGGCCAGTAGCAAGGCAGGAAGTATAGGCAGGATAAGCAGACAAGGAGAATTCTGGGAAGAGGAAGGCTGAGTCAGGAGACACCAGCCTGCCGTCCAGGGAGCAGCATGTAATGGCACACAAATAAAGCCACAGAAAATGTGGCGACATATAGATTAACAGAAATGGGCTGGGTTTAAGTGTAAGAGCTAGTCAGTAGTAAGCATGAGCTAATGACTGAGCAGTTTTAATTAATAAAAGCCTCTGTGTATTTGTCTGAGCAGCTGTGGACTGGACGGAACACAGAAAAACTTCTGACTACACCATATATTTTTATTATTATTATTATTATTATTATTATTTACTATTCATGGTGGGAGCCTTAGAGGGCATCAGCTCTAAGATTCCTGTTTCCTAGTGTCTCAGTCAAACACTAGCATGGATACTACTGTGAAGGAATTTGCAGGTGGAATTGAGGCACTTAATCATCAGAATTTAACACAGGGAGATTGTGTTGAATTATTTGACTAGTTCATCATGATCAATTGAACCCTTAAAAAAATACCAGAAAAAGGCAATAACAGAAGTGAATCAGAAAAGTCTGGACCTGGGCTCAGGATAAAGCTTAGTGGTAGAATGCCTTTCATGTGTGAAACTATGGGTTTGATCCCAGCACTGAAAAACCAAAACAGCTAATGTGCCATTCCAGGCCGTGAAGGTTTGCATGTAGCTTCTAGATGCTCAAAACAACCCCTGGATGGCAGTCAGCAAGGAGATAGGGATCTGTGCCCATCAGCCACATGGATCAGAATTCAATGAACAGCTGGGTAGACAGGATGCTTCCATGGACTGTCTAGGTGCGAGCTTGGAGGGACCAAAGCAGGTGCTGGGTTTCCTAACTACAGAACTGTAGGACATCCAGCGTGTGTGTTCTAAGCCTGAAAGTTTGTAGTGATGTGTTGAGTGAACAGCAGCGAGCCACTAGCCTGCTTCCTTCTGCCCAGTTGCTCTTACTGATCGCTTTGAGCTTTCCCCTCCATTGCTACTGAAAACTACTAGGATTATAGATGTAGCTTGTCTTAGTCAATGTTCTATTGCTATGAAGAGACACCATGACCACGGCACCTCTTACAACGGAAAACATTTAATTGAGGCTTGTGTATAGTTTCAGAGGTTTACAGTTTCAGAGGTTTAGTTCATTGTCCTCATAGCAGGAAGTATGGTGGCGTGCAGGCAGACACGGTACTGGAGAAAGAGCTGAGACTCCTACATCTGGATCTGTAGGCCCCAGAAAGAGAGAAACACTGGGCCTGGCTTGGGCTTCTGAAACCCCAAAGGCCCCCCTTCCCCCAGTGACACACTTACCTACTCCAACAAGGCCACACCTCCTAATCCTTCAAAATAGTGCCATTCCCCAAGCATTCAAATATACAAGCCTCTAGGGGCTACTCTTATTCAAACCACCACATATCTGTTATTATTAATTGTTATTAATGTGATGCTTGGGATTGAACCGGCCCCTCACATGATGGGAAATGCTGTAGCATGGAGCTACATGCCAGCTGTCAGCCTCCATTACAGTTTGGAGTCAAATCAAATGGCTACCATTCCTGCCTAGCCAACCTCTGTCCCCTTCGATGCGACTTCCTGCAACTCTTGTCTCCTTTGAGTTCCACGATGTCATGCTCTCCTGTTCCCTGTCCCTCTTCTTGCCCCTTTTCTTTTTGTCACTGAGATTTCTGCCATCCCCAGTCTTCTATCTTCTCTTTCATATATCGTTCCCTTCTTCACCGAACTTGTTTTTTAAAAAAAAAAACAAAACACCTGAAACTATCTTTATTCATTCCTTAAGAATTTCTTACAAGGTATTTTGATCATAATCACCCTAAGTCCTCCCTGTAACTCCTCCTAGATCCACTCCCCCTCTGCATTCCCCTTCAGCTTTGTGTCTGTCCTCTTCCTTGTGATTCTTCTTATTACATAGAGGAAGTTACTTTGCAGGAAAATTCCCTCCATATCCTTAGAGTCTATGCTAGGGTCCCGATGAATTCAATAGACAAAAGACGTGAAGAAGAGATGAAGCACATAATTACAAATGACACAACTATTTTCTGTGTATTGGGGGATGCCATGGTGGGCTCGCAGAGGTTAGAGGACAACCTGCAGGAATCTGTTCTCTTCTTCTATCATGTTTTTTCAAGAGATGGAAACCATCACACTGGACCACATATCATTTTAAAAAATAATTTCTTTATTATATTTGTGTGTATGTGTACACACATGTGCATGCCAGCCACAGTGTGTGTGTGTGTGTGTGTGAGGTCAGAAGACAACTTTTAAGAGTTCTCTCCTTCCACCATGTGGATCCAGGGGTCAAACACAGGGTATCAGACTTGGCAGCAAGCACCTTTGCCTACTGAGTGTCTCACAGGCCCCACTTACAAGTTTCATTAATATTTATGTTCACAGGAGTTTGCAGAAAAGAAGCATATCTCAGAGTGGTTAGACTTGGAGGCTTATATGCCATTTTTAATTGCTTAATTTTATATACCTTTTAAATCATTTATTTGTTTACTTTGTAATATACACTTTTTTTTTTAAAGGATAGGCTTTGGCTTTGAAGGACAATAAGTTGTGGAGAAGCAACTAGAAAACATCGAAGAAACTGAAGGAAGATAAGGGTTATCAGAGCAGGTTGAATCATGTAGCCTTACCTTGATGCCAACTGTCCATCTATGACCATAGTTGTCCCTCCCCCCTGGTAGGGGAGGAGGGTACCATATGAAGGAAATGCGTGTCCAGCTTTTTGTATGGAAAAGGAGGGGCAAGAAATTCTTCCTGCCTTGGTGATCTTCTGTTGTCCTTGTTAAAATAATCCTTCTGTCAGAGTGGCACACATCAGGTGGCCCCTACAAACCCCTTTGAGACTTGATCCATTGTTCCTGTAACTGTTGTGTTCTCTAGTTTAACCCACAGATTTTATTATTATTATTACTTTTTAACAGAAACTCCTTATATATTCTGGGCTGGCCTGGAACTTGTGATCCTGATTCCTCAGTGGCCCGGGTGAGTAGCTGCTGGCACGGGCATTACTACCTCACCACAGTGAAGACATTCTCCCCCCGACCTTCACCACCGAATTAGCTTGTGCTGCTGCCTTTTTGTGAACACCGTCCACCTTGCATTATTTAAGATTATAAATGAACAACACTGAACCTCAAATAACATCTGTAGATGTAACCGTCTTATTAAATAAGAAACACAGAGCCAAATGCAGAGTTCAAAGCCCAAGAGGTCAGAGCAGTAGCTGAGAGCTGAGACTTAAAACCCTTCTTCTTACCCTTCCTGCCGCTGCCGTCCTTCCCCTCAGCAAGAGACCTACTTCCTGTGTATCTGTCTTTTTATTGACTTTCTGTTCTGCCTTCTCATTGGTTGTAAACCCAGCCACATGACCTCCTCATCACTGCCTGTCTATACAGACCTCCAGGTCTTCTATGGCTGGTATTGAGATTAAAGGCATGTGTCTCCATGCTGGCTGTATCCTTGAACACACAGAGATCTGCCTGTCATGGGATTAAGGGCGTGCGCCACCACTGCCCTGGCTTCTGCTATGGCTTGCTATTAGCTCTGACCCCCAGGCAACTTTATTTATTAACATACAAATAAAATCACATTTCAGTACAAATAAAATATCACCATAAACATCAAATTCAGATAGATGTTCTACTGTGACATAAACAAAATTCTGAGCTAGGCAAACAAAACCGGGTGGGTGGCCTCTTGGTTACCAAGCACGCAGGCCACTTCTACCATCCTCTACAACACCGTCATGCACTGTGTCCGTCCTCAGTTCACCTCGTGGTTTACGGTAGCTGCCAGGCATTCTGCCTCTGTTCTGGACTCTAGGCAGCAGGACTGAGGACATGAGACAGGTCAGCTGGTGCTGCCTGGGATATGAACATTCCTGGAAGATGTCCTTATTCTCGTCCCAAGGCAGAAGGTGGAAGGGAGGATGAACAATGCATTATTGACAATCGGCAACCGCTACAACCACCACATCTCCTCTCCTTGACCCCGGAGTCAGACATGGGGGGCCATCTTCAGACCTATTTTCTCACTCTTCATATCTTTCTCCCTCTTGTTCAAAATCTCCCTCATTGAACCACGCCATATGAAAACGATATTTAAACATTCACTGAGATTTTACAATGTGTCACTGTACCAGATGCTTTGCCTGCATATTTCTCATTTTCAGCTCACTACAACTCTTGAATGGGTACTGCTTTGTTTTTGTGGTTGTCATGATCCTGGGTATTTAACCCAGGTCCTGGGTGAGCACTGTACCACTGGGCTATACCCCACCCCAAAGGTACTGTTATTAAAGCCACATGGCAAATTATAAAATCAAATCTTAGGAGTTTGAGATCAACAAGGGGGCGGGGTACGGTAGTTTGAATAGGGAATGTCACCCATGGACTCAGCTACTGATGACTTGTTGGCCAGCTGATAGGCTTTTGTGAAGTATTTGGTTCCTGAGGGCTCTGACCTAATCCACGGGCTAATTGTTTGGTGGATTCATAATGTAATGACAATATGGGAATGTGATGAAATGTAGGTGGCAGATCCTAGTTGGAGGAGATGGGTTGCTGGGAGAGAGTTCTTGAAGGCTGTATCTTGTCCTGGCTCTCTCCCGTGTCTTTTCTGTCCCTTGTCTGCTGTGACATGAGCTGTTCCACCATGCCTTCCCCATCACAGTGGACAGAAGCCCTGGAAACTGTGATCCAATAAGCCCTTCTTCCCTCCTGGTTTACGTCAGGTGTTTTGATCATAGTGACACATGTGACCACTACAGAGAGCTTGCTCGAATTATCAGTCTTTCTACTCTGCCCTTGTGCCTCATGTCACCTTCGTATAGAAAGACACTGTAGAACGAACAGGAAGGGCTTAGCGGATCCCATCCCCAAACCCTGCTTGCTTTCAGATGCGGCTTCCTTGAGGCCAACCAAGTCTTCAGCGAGTGATCACGAAGCGATCTTTGTCAGTTGCAAATCTGATCTTGCTTTTCCTTTGATTCACAACTTCAATGGTATTCTGTATCTTCCAAAAATACATCTGAAGCCTCTAACTGTTCTGTACCCCCAGCCCTTGAGCCCTTGATGGTTTCCTAGAAACAAGAGCTACTGAAACCACATTCTCATGCTGAATTTCCGGGCACACAGTATGCTGTCTCCAGGTTGCAGGGTTCGGCGTTCCCTCTGCCTGGAAGGCTTTTTCTATTCCCCTACCCATTTCATCTGGACTCAATTCTTACATGACTTCTTCCAAGAAATACTTTGCAACGTCTTTAGTCAGTTTAGACTAATTTCTCTCCCTCTGTGCTCTACTGGCAACCTGTACAGACTTCTAAACTAAATGGCAGTAAACACACTGCTTCATTATCTTTGTTTCTCTGCCCGTTTTCCTCGGTAGCCTCAAGCTCCTGGAGGGAATGGACCAAGTCCTAATTGTCTTTGCATGTGTCTAAGACCGAATAGAATGCTTGGCTCTTAGGACGTTTCTCGAGTTAGTGATGCACGTCCAGAATGAAGTGAATTCTGTTAAGTATCAGTTTTGGGATGATTAAGTCACATTTGCAAGAACGGTTCTAAAATTTTAAGAAATGTAGGAATGGAACATAAAGTCAGGTCTTTATCGTAAGATCAATACCCACATATGCCGCTGGTGTACTTGAGGGGGAAGAGAGATGGTTTAATTTTACAAGTGCTGTAAGTATAAAGTAGGATAAAGTGGAGGAGGTGGCTTTAGTGCTTTCAACATATAAGAAAAGCTCACACTCAGTTCTTCCTCTCTACCTTCTTCTTTCTTCTCTTTGTTCCATTTCTCTTTTTTTCCCCTTCTTTTCCATCTAAGCCATGATGGTGGAACAGAGAATTTCATACATAAAGATGGGAGTTGGAATCTTTGTCCTGTCAATGATGATAGGTTTTTAAATTGTACAAGTTGTTTTTATTTGATCCTCGAGTGACATTTCTTTCATTCAACCTCAGCCCTTCACATAGTGCTGGGTACAGTTTATTCACTCAAGAAGTATCCACGGGCCCCTGTGGTTTCTTTTCCTTTTCTTCTCTCATTTTTTGTTTCAAAAGGTCCGGCAGAAAGAAAGCTCTGTGATGGACAGGACAGACAAGTTCCAGGGTCAGACTGCAGCTGTTGACCTGGACAGTCCAGACTAGCTTCAGCCATCTGCTTGGCCAGCCCTTGATTGGTTGGACACAGAAAGGAATGAAAACCAATCAAGAAAGATGACCTTTATTGGAAGGAAACAATTTGCAAGCAGCTGCCAGGACCCTGAGACCCCAGGAAGAGGAGCAGATTCGCAAGACTTTTATGTCAGATTCCCATCACACTCCTTAATGTCAATAAGAAAGAAATCGAGCCCGTCTTTGTTGTGAAGCTAATGAGGCCTTTGCTGCTTGCACTAAATTTCTCTCTTTGATTTCCCTCTTTGCCTTTTCTGTTTCCTTTTATTTAGGGTCCCTCTTGGCAGGAGCTCTTTTCACTAATTTCAAACAAGGGAAAGAAGAGAGAGAAGAGGAAAGTGAGAGAGTTTAAAAACCAAGAAAAACTGTAAAAATGAGTTCTTAGCCTTTCTCTGTAGTGGTATGCTTTGATCCTTTCAAATTCAAGTCCAAGGAAATGCTCTTACGGATTGATTGGCCTTGAGCGATGGGGGAATGGGGTAGCCTTATCCTGTAGGTCAACATTCATGTCAAGGGAGGGCTGATTCCTTCCTTCTTGCTGTACCTTTCTAATCAATGTGAAGTATGTTTGAATGGAAGGTTGGTAAAGCCTCTAATTTGTGTTCTCTCTCTCTCTCTCTCTCTCTCTCTCTCTCTCTCTCTCTCTCTCTGTGGTGTGTGTGCCTGTGCGTGTGCGTGTGCGTGTGTGTGTGTGTGTGTGTGTGTGTGTGTGTGTGTGTGTGTGTGTCTTTTGTAACTGGGGCGGGGTGTTGAACCTGGGTCTTTATACATAATAAGCAAGCTCTCTATCACTGAGCCATACCTGTAGGTCATATAATTTACTTCTAAGTGGAAAATCATATTATAGATAACATGAAACCCATTAAGGAAAAACAAAAACAAAAACAAAACCACAAATTGAGTACAAATAGGAGAAACAGAAAAAAACCCCAGGGGGAAGCTGGCTTTAGGTTCAGACATTAGGAATCTGTTTCTGTCTATCTCAATGCTAGCTGTGTCCTTAGGCTGCATGTGTGACCTGCCACAACTGTAGTGCAACAACTTCCTATATCTAATTTCAGTAGAAACAAATCAACACTGAAAACAGCTCTTATTTCTGGATCTCCTACATAAATCTTGGACTCAACTAGTATTGGAACAATGACTTGTTACTGAACTAACCATGGCCCTAGTATTCCTTCATCCAGTGAGTTACTGTGAACATACAAGCTAATTCTAGCCAGTTGACCAACTTCATTAGTAATCAATCAGTCAATCAATTGATAAATCTTTCTTTTTCCTTTCCCTCCCTCTCTTCCCTTCCTTACCTCTCTCTTTCCTCTTTCCTCCTTGCCCCCCACCACACCCCGTTTCCCTTGTCCCATTTATGGAAGAGTTTATCTAGCTTTGTATGTTTTTGAAACCTTTGTTAGTGGTCAAATATGCACAATGTGCTTTTAGGTTCTCCATTCTGTAGCATTGGTCCAGGTCTGTCTTTGGGTAATACTACATTGTTTTAATGGTTATAGCTTTGCAATTATTTTTAGAACCAGGAAGTGTGATACTTCCAGCATGTGTTTTGCTCCCCCTTATGAATGTTAGACTTTTCAGTTTCTCTAAAAAAAAAAAAAAAGTCCATATTAATTCATTTATTTCCCATGTAGGGATCAAAACCGTGGTCTTGCATATGCCAGGGATGTGTGTGTCACTGAGGGATATTCCAAGCTTCTCATTTTTCTGGTTAGGACGTCTGGTACCATTTTGGATAAAATTTAGAAAAGTGAGTATCCTTGTTTGGTTCCTGATCTGGGAGGTAAAGATTTTGTTTTCTCACCATTGAGTACGCTATCAGTGGTGGCTTTGCAGGTATGGTCTTTCCCATGCTGGGATGGTTTCCTTCTGGTCCTGATTTGCATCTTGAAATCTTGTTGAAGATTGCAAGATGTTTCTTCTGCATCTGCTGAGAAGCTCATGTGATTTTTTTTCTTTAACCTATGAATGTGTTTTATCACATTAATTGATTTTGTTATGTTGAACCAACCATTCAGGATAAATCTCGTATTGTCATGGTGTAACTAAGACTTTTGTGTGTTGTTACGTTTGATTTGTTAGTATTTTGTGGAGGAGTTTCATACACAAAAATGTTCACTTGGAATGTTGGTCTGTAGTAGTTTGAATGAAAATGGCCCTCAAAGGCTCATAGGGAGTGGCATTATTTGAAAGGATTGGGGTATGTGGCCTTGTTGGAACAGGTTTGGCCCATTTGAAGGAAGTGTGTCATTGAGGGTGGGCACTGATATTTCAGAAGTTCAAGCCACGCCCAGTGGCTCATTCTCTCTTCCTGCTGCCTGCTAATCCGGACTCTTGGCTCCTTCTCCAATACCATGTATGTGTGCCTGCATGCTGCCATGTCCCACAATGATGATAATGGACTAATCTTTGAACCTATAAGTTAGCACCAATTAAATGCTTTACTTTGTAAGAGTTGCTGTGGTCATGGTGTCTCTTTTCAGCAATAGGAACCCTAACTAAAGACATAGCCTATAACTTTTTTTTGTTGTTATTGCATCTGACTTCAGGATTTAGGTAACGCTGATTTTAATTTTTTTAATTGGTTGACATAATTTTTCTCTAAATGTTTAGTATAATTTAACAATGATATTATCTGTCTTATGCTCTTTCATTGTAGGTTTGTGATTCAACTTCTATGTGAGTTCTAAGTATGTTTAGACTTCCTGTTTCTTCATGGGTTAGCCTTGGCAGGCTGTGTGCATCTAGGAATTTATCCTTCTCTTCTAGTTCTTGGCATTGACAATTCTTTTTTATTTTAGACTATAATGTTTTAAACTACTTTTTGGTTCCTTCCAAAAGCTGACAGAATATTTTTCTTCTTTTTTTAAAAAAATATTTATTTTTGGCTTACTAATTGGGAGGAAAAAAATCTGGACCACTTCAAGCACCATAATCAGTATATTTTGAGTAAGGACCTGGCTAAAAACTAAAACCGTGTCAGTGAAAGACATGTGGCAAGATATTTTGTGATCTTAGAATTGAGAGAACAAACTGGGGATTTATTTTCATTAAAGAGTATCATGGACAGAGCTTGAAGAATGAGGCAAAAATTGGGAAAAGATATTTGAAATATCTAAAATCTACAATGGAATATTTTCAAACCTATGAAAATTGACAAATGAACACTAGAAATGCCAATAAAAGGAATGGGGAAAGATAGGAAAAGGCAGTTTGTAGGGAGTGAGATTTTGAAAAGCCAGCAAGTATAAGAACAGAGACACGTGACTGAGATGTAACTACCATGGGTTTGGAGAGACAGCTCAGTGGTTAAGAGAACTGGCTGCTCTTCCAGAATACTTGGGTTAGATCTGCAGCACCCACACTGTGCCTCACAACCGTCTGTAACTCCAATCCCTGAGGATCTGATACCCTCTTCTGGCATCTTTGGGTACCAGGCACACATATGGTATCCAAACATACATGCAGGCAAAACACCCATACACATAAAATAAATTAATTAATTAAAAAAGACTATTATGCACCCATTATTAGAAGAGGAAAAAGTGGAGTCTGGGAGTTCAAGCGTTGATGGTTATTTAGGAGTCAAATACCAGTTCTCATTGACAGGAGTTCTTTCTTAGTAGAGTACTCAAGAAGTAGTTGGTTAAATCACATAGTAACCCTGGGACCTAGCAAGCCTATTTGGGGGAAGATATATCCCCCAATTTCAAGTCCATAAAATGGGGATATTTGGGCTATATTGTTTGGGGAGATGGTACATTAATCAAAGTCCAACTAGAAAAAGACAAACCAAGTACAAATTTGAACAGAAAATTTGGATACAAAGACATTAGAGGGCATTAGAGAAATGTGCTCTTGGTGACTGGAAATCAAGGACACAGAAGAATATTGGCATGGCAGGTATAGGGAATTGTCACGCCACAAGTTCTGAGACAGAGAAACCATAGGCAAGCCCTACAATCCCCAAGTCTCACATGCTGACTTTTTTGGAGAGGGGTATCAATGGCAGACAAGTGTGTGTGGTATCATGTCTGTGTACCCTGCCAAAAATCTGTGCTCTCGGGTGTTAGGGAAAGCTGTTCATGGGGGTGTGTCTCCTTAGACACTGCCACAGGACACTCTGCATGAAGGACAAGTGCTAGAGACAACCTGTGGGTAGTCCCAGCTGTGGGGCGGGTGGTTTTTTGGTCTTTTTAATGGGTTTTGGGTCTGGGATAATTTTCATTGTCTAGGGGGTTGGTTACAAGTTGTTGTCAAGGGGAAGGAAGGCTGAGTCAGCCGCCATGATGACAAACAGCATGTAAAGATGCCGGTAAGCCACGAGCCATGTGGCAAGGTATAGATTAATGGAAATGGATTAATTTAAGCTGTAAGAACAGTTAGCAAGAAGCCTGCCACGGCCATACAGTTTGTAACCAATATAAGTCTCTGTGTTTACTTGATCGGGTTTGAGCGGCTTGGGACTGGCAGGTGAGAGAGATTTGCCCTGACTGTGGGCCAGGCAGGAAAACTCTAGCTACACCCAGCTGTTGTGCCCGTCAGGAACCAGGAGCTAAGGAAGCCGTGAGGGACTTTGCTGCAAAGCTTCCCAGTCGCAACAGAGTAGTCTTGGGAGAAGTTGTGGTCTCTGGCTGCTCCTGGCTGCTGTGGTGTAGCTGTCTCTACAGAAGCATAATGAAGTATATCAAACCAGAGCTCAGGGAAAGAAATGCCTCCTTCCTCAGCTGTTTTTCCATCTGACTCTAGAGTTTTAACATTGTGTCAACTGGTAAAACGAAAATATTTAAAAGGGCCCAGATTTATTTTTATAGAGTAGGCAGTGCGGGGTAAATTTGGAGCTGAAAGGCAATAAACTGGTAACTAGAACAGGTGGGAGTTGAGGATAATTTGAGTGTGCATTACAGTATAAACAGGTTGGTTAAATGTCAAGGATGTAACAAGCACTGCATGGTATTTAGAAGCGAAGGCTACATAGATATGATGGATTGAGGGCTATATGTATCAATATGGATAGAATTTTAAATTATGTGTTGGTTGAAATAAAGTAGTCACAATGGGCACTTGGGCCCACCACTGTATTGCAAACACGCATGTTCACATTCCATGTTTTTGAACACAAGGATATCCTTGTCCTTGGGGATGGAAGGTTGACAAGTTCTGAGTGCTAGGGGATGCCAGCTAGCTAATACCAAGTCTGTAACATCACAGAAACTGACCTTGTTGTCGCAAGGTTGGAGGTCAAAGCAAGTGTCTGTGATAAAAACAGCTTTCCTAAACAGCTTGGTTTATTACAGAAATACTGTAATAAATGCCATGTCCTACAACAGGCACTACCAAACCAGAAGTCAATCCTTGGGCCTATGAAAATAAATCTTTCAATATTACAGGAAAGTGGTTTGCCAGTCCTGGTAAACGTTCTTAGACAGAAACACAGCTTTAGACTGACAAGATTCAGAACAAGTGCACATTTCACTTCAATGTTATGGCAGGTTGCACATGAAGGTTCACTAAAGTCTATGAGTGTGAACAAGACGGACCGTCTGGGGGAACACTTCATCTTCTCAAGTTCTCCAGTAGCCCGCCACTCTCTTCCAGTGTTTTCATTCAGTTGCTAATTAACTTTCGTAACCACTGGGTTCAGTTGTGCTTTCCAATCAAGGCTCCTCTGCAGGTTGTCATTGAGCTCTGGCTCCTCTGGACGACCAATGACATAGGATTGTGACCCGTGATGCTTGAACTTTACACCCTGCTGGACAGGAACTCAGGAAGGACATTACCACACCAGATCTGACTGCTTTGCATACAGACTTTCTCTGGTGTTCCTTCCCTACATGAAATACACACAAACGATTCATAGCACACATTGAAATTATTTCCCCATGCACACTGTACCCACTACACTACCAAAGAAAGTGGACTAGTGAGTGAGGAATGCTAGTGGTTATTCCCACGTCTACACTTCAGACTGAACATGTTTTGTGTTCATACAGCTGCTCTTCTAAGTATGTCTTCACATTTTTTTTTTGGTTGGTGTTTTTCAGGTGGGGTCTTACTATGAAGTCTAGGTGTTATTGCTGTGCAGTCTAGGTGTTACTACTGGTGTGCAGTCTAGGTGTTACTGGTGTGCAGTCTAGGTGTTACTGTTGTATAGTGGAGGTGTTACTGATGTCTTAGTTAGAGTTTCTATTGCTGTGAAGAGACACCATGACCATAGCAACTCTTTTTTTTTTTGAGATAGGATTTCTCTGTGTAGTTTTGGTGCCTGTCATGGATCTCACTCTGTGGACTAGGCTGGTCTTGAACCCACAGAGATCCACCTGGCTCTGCCTCCCAAATGCTGGGATTAAAGGTGTGCATCACCACCGCCTGGCTACAGCAACTCTTATAAAGGAAAACATTTAATGGAGGCTGGTTTACAGTTCAGAGGTCACTATCATCATGGTGGGAAGCATGGTAGCATGCAGGCAGACATGGTGCTGGAGAAGCTGAGAGTTCTACATCTTGATCTGCAGGCAGCAGGAAGAGACTGTGAGCCATACTGGGCATAGCTTGAGCATATGAGACCTCAAAGCCCACCCCCACAGTGACACACTTCCTCCAACAAGGCCATACCTCCTAATAGTACCACTCCCTATTGGCCTATGGGGGGCATTTTATACAACCACCACGCTCGTGTTACTAGAGAAAACCAGATCTCCTTTTGGGTTCTTAGTCTTATTACTTAAAAAAAAAATTAAAAACAGACTTGCTCAGGGATAGTTTTATTAGTTTGTGAGAAAACCAACATTGTAGAGAAGTGAACAATCCTGGCAGCAGTCAGGGGGAAGATGGATAAAAACACCATGTTTTTTAAGTTAGATGTGGAGGTCAGGGTAACAGTGAGGAAGCCCCAAGTGTTGAGGAAGCATGCATAGGCTTTAGGCTGGCACCCACAGGGATAAAGAAAAGGGACAGAGCAAACATACTTGTTGCTGGGCCATAGATCTGAGTTGAGAGGGCAATTGATTCAGGTTCTTGTGTCCCAGGGCAAAGGATTGCATCAGGACTGCATGGTTAGAAATAGAAACAAAGACAGCCTATTAACAAAAGAAAAATACTCCTAAACATGAGGGTGGGCTAGTGAGCTAAGGGAAGAGTTCTCAAGCATTGGGCCACAAAATATATCGTCCATTCATTATAGGCCCTTTATGTACCACATGCACTATCCCAGGTCCCCCTTGTGTTTGTATTTTGCATACTCTGTTCTTCAACGAAGCCTCGATGAGAAACGGCTTCTAGTCTTCCTCTGAAAACTGTCTTATTTCATGTGCTAATGTTAATGTTTGAGTCTCCAGTCCGTGTTCTGACCACAGGCTGGTCTCAAGCTTGGAGCCTTCTTGTCTCAGCCTCCAAGTGCTGGCTGGCATCACAAATGTGCGCCGCCTTGCATGGCTGTCTTGAGTGTTTCTGCACACAGGGGATATGCATGCTCAGAGAGCACAATTTTGTTTATTTACCACAAAATGAACCTTTTATGAACCCTGTCTTTATATATATCAAGTTGGTGAGAAGACAGGGGTTTGCCAGGGAAGATATTAAGTGCTTACAGATTGGTAATGTGTCTGTAAACTTAGGGACATGGATGCTGAATCGCTTGCCATGGCATGGTTTTGATAAAAGCTACCATTTTTAGATCTCTGATGTAGCTGCAGGGAAATATCATCTAATAACAGATCCTGTTACCTGACTCTCTACTACAGTTTGGATTTCTTTTCCTATGTGAGCTGCTTCAACTCAACTGGACACCTTTCAGACAAGACCTCTATGATATATAGGGCCAGTCTCCTCTCAACAAGGAACCTCTGAGAAAAGGTTATAGAACATTAACCCAGGATGATGAACCTGCTCATCTGATGTGTCATGCCGTGAGTACTCTAGGTTTGCCCTAAAGTTCATCCTCTGGTTACTTGAGCTCTATGTGTGTGAAGTGACCGCAGACTTCATGGAAGAACCTACGGTCTGTCGCTGCTTCCTCTCCCTCCCCCCACACTTTTTTTTTTTTTTTTTTTTTTGGTGTCTGGAGAGGCTTAGGTTTTACATTTATAGGAGGGGGACTTTTCTGTCCTTGTGAGTGGCTTTACATATGTAGAGGGGTGTGTGTGTGTGTGTGTGTGTGTGTGTGTGTGTGTGTATGTAGGCATACTCACTTGCACACATTGGAGAGGTGATAAGTGATTCACACACATTTGTGTGTCCTGAAGAAGAAAAAGGAGTTTGTACTCAGTGTCTCAGGGACTGGCTGTCTTATCAAATCAGACACTGCAGATAGTGACCGACCCCTAAATAATTCATCTTAAATAAATGAAATGAGAGAAAACTGCAAGCCAAGTTGCTTATATGATGGCTAATCTTGACAGGATTTGGCATCATCTGGCAATCCTCTGCGTATATCTGGAGGGGTGAACTAATGGAAGAGTCCCCAAGAATTGGACCATGAGATAAATAGTCCACTCATTATAGACTTTATATACCATAAGTCCTATCCACACTTCTCTTTGTGTTTCTATTTTGGATACTCTATTCTTTTTATCTATCATCTATCTATCTATCTATCTATTTATTTTTATTTTATGTTCATTGGTGTTTTGCCTGCATGTATGCCTGTGTGAGGGTATCAGAAGTCCTGGAACTGGAGTTACAGACAGGTGTGAGCTGCCATGTGGGTGCCGGGAATTGAACCCAGGCACTCTGGATGAGCAGTTAGTGCTCTCAACTGCTAAGCCTTCCCTCCAGCCCCATGTGCTTTGTTCTTAAATGAAGCCTAAAGGGCTGTTTTAACTGCATTGGGAAGCTCCACTCTGAATATAGATGCCCCATTCCACTGCCAGAGTCACATCCTGAATGAGAAGAGAGGATGAGAAGGCAAATGAGAAAATGAATACAGGACCAGAATTCCTGTCCATTTCCTGACTGGGTCAATATAGCAACTGCCTTACCCTTCCCGCCCTTCCTTCCGCCTTGATGGACTGTATTCACTTCAGTGTACTGGACAGTTTGTGTCACCAGGGAGGAGAAGCCTCCATTGAGAAAATGCTTCCATAAGATCAGGCTGTAGGCAAGATTGTAAGGCATTTAGTGGTTTTTTTTTTTTTTTTTTTTTTTTTTTTTTTTTTTTTTTCAGAGCTGAGGACCGAACTCAGGGTCTTGGCAAGCACTGTACCACTGAGCTAAATCCCCAACCCCATAAGGCATTTTCTTAATGAATGATTCATGAGGGGAAAGTCCAGCCCCTTGTGGATGGTGCCACTTCTGGGCTGATGGGCCTGTGTTCTATAAGAAAGCAGGCTGAGCTAGCCATGAGGAGTAAGCCAGTAGCAGCACCCCTCCATGGCATCTACATCAGCTCCTGCCTCCAGGTTCCTGCCTTGCTTGAGTTCCCGTCCTGACTTCCTCCAGTGATGGACTATGGTGTGGAAGTGTAAGCCAAATAAACCCTTTCCTGCTCAAGTTGTTTTTGGTCATGGTGTTTCATCACAGCAATAGTAACCCTAACTAGGAGAGAAATTGGTACCAGCATAGTCGAGTTTTCCTGTGATAGACCTGACCATATTTTAGGGAAGATTGTGGAGGGACTTTGGGACTTTGGGCTAGAAAAGCCATTGAGTGTTGACAGCTCAGTGAACTGTTCTGTTGGAGCTTTGAAGAGAAGAATATTGAGGGCAATGCAGAGACCCAGACTATGAAGTTTCTGAGGGGAGTTTAGACTCTATGGGGCCATTTGCTATTTTTGAATTAAGATTCTGTTGTTCTGGTCAGCTGGGCCTGGAGAGTCAGCTGTGATTAACAAGAGTCCAATGCCATTGGAGTGAAACCTTTGCATTACTGGGACAATAGATGGTGCTCAGCTGGAGCTAAGAAATCACCAGTAATGAAGAAGAGACTAGAATCCCTGAGGTAAAATCTCCTGGTCAGCGTTTCATCAGAGTCAGCACACACAGCCGTGTTCCAGAGGCAGCCAAGGCCGGACCTTGCACAGGCAGCCAAGGTTGGTAATGTGGAAAAGCCACCTAGGTGGGATGGTAGTATGAAGGCACAAAGGTGTCATGGAGAGCAGCCTGGCCTCGGCATCAGCTCCTGTGTCCAGGTTCCTGTTTGAGTTCCTGGCTTCCTTCCGTGCTGGACTCCAATGTGGAAGTGTAAGCCAAATAAACCCTTTCCTCCCCAGCTTGCATTCAGTCATGGTGTTTCATCCCAGCGATATTAACTCTAACTAAGACAAACAGTGAACCTAAACAAATTTGTCATATAGTTTATCAATGCAAGGAGAAAAGTAACTAATGCCCAGTTAACTGGGTAAGGGAGTGAAATTGTTAATAGGACAAGTTTGGTGAAACAATCCATGAATTTGGCTAGGTAGAAGAGGGACATATTAAAATAATACACAGCGTTTCTAGGATAATAGATCTATTTATCCAAACAGGGCAGCACCGATTTGTCAAGGCAATTGATTTTTTTAAAAAAATTCTTTGCCTCAGAGGTACGCGATTCCACTTTCGAACAGCAGGCGGCAGTGTTACCATCACAATCCTACTTAGCCATGGTTGGCTGCAACTGTGTGGTGAATGCACCAAGGCAGACATGCTTGTTTGTATTAGAGGGGTCTGTTGCGTTTCAGAATTTCATTAGGGAGAGAAAGGCTATTCTTACTGCTATTACAATCACTTTACATTTCCAGCGCGCCTCTAGTACAGGCAAAGACCGTAGCCGTGTGGAAAGCGCCTGAGTGGCTTTTTCGAAAACAGAAACAGGGATTTGCTGAGTTCTTGCCTGCAGTGAAATAAATCTTTTAATTATATTTTCAGATGAATATTCGTGGTAAATCTTGGCGAGATGCACTCTGGAAATATTCGTTGTGTTGGCTGTATCTGCACTGTCCATTTTCAGGTGAAGAAGTTAATGTTTTATTAGATGACCAATATTTGGTAAGGTTTTATTTTTATTTTTTTTTTAAACTGCGTTCCTAGTTAGGCACGGAACATATAAATCTTTGAACTCTGAGATCCTTGAGAGTTAGCCACTGTATCTTAATTTTCATGTGGTCTTCATCCTGATGGAAAATTTGGTGAAATAATGATGTTGAGTTCTTCCCATAGCCAGCCGTTTGGGGGAGATGGGAGTTATATTCCTCTGAGTGCCAGACATAGTATTCTCTAAAAGCTGATACAAAGCAGCATTCATATATTTGAAATGTCTTATTTTCTCATTATGCAAATTGTACACGATTCCACTTAGATGGGGTCTCTCGGGTAGTCAGATTCACAGGAACAGAAAGCAGAATGGTGACTAGCAGGGCTTAGTGGGAGGGGGTGGGGGAAGCTGTTTACAGGGTAGGGTTTCTGTTGTGCTTGCTTGAATAGACTCTGGAAAATTCTCATGGATCCATGTGAATATATTGAACACTCAGCTGTGCATTGGAAATGACTGAGAGGGTGTTTTTTTTTTTTTTTTTTGGATAGCATCTTTGCCATAATTAAACATTAAAAATAGAGGGTTTATACAGTGGTGGTAGCCTACAGTTGGCACAGAGGCCCAGGTTGACTCACTTGCAGTTGAACGCAGTGGCCACAGGCTGCAGTAGATGACAGTCAGGTCCAGCCACTACTGCGTGCTGTGCTCTGAGATCTTCAGTGGGGCAGCTTCTATGCCCATAGTCTCCTCTTATCCAGAAGGCTGATGTCCTCTTTACAGCTCTTCTGCAATTGCCAGGCCCTGCCTTTGCTGCTGAGATGTGGTATCAGCTTCCCCTCAGACCCTAGAAGACCTACAGGCCACTGCTTGGCTCCTTCCAGCCAGCTCCCCAGGGAACACCTGCTTCTATATATGCAAAAGGACCCACACCAGAATCCTGCCCCATCCACCTGTTCCCATTCTCAACTCTTCTGACCCAGGGGCTGCCCATCTTCTGCCGCAGGTTTCTGGTCCTTCTGGATGAGCCCTTTCTAGCCTAGCTTCTTGAGCCTCCTGCTGGCCTGAGAAGGACCCGATCTTGTTCCTCTATCCCGCAGCAAGGCCTGCTGCAGGTCTCTTCCTAGGCGGTTCCCTTGCCCACTTCTCCCCCTCATGCTGAAGCGGGTAACCACTCTGTCCTTACGGTAGGCGATGGGGTGGCACACGCCGAGTGCTCTGTGCTGCACGACCTGGGCACTTCAGGGAGGTCTTCAAGCCTATGTCCAGAGTATATGCTGGATAGGTCTGGGTGTCAAACTCTAATCTGCTTTGTTTTTTTTTTTTTAACCTTCAGGCAAAAATTAAAAATCTGCAAGAAAGAAGCATCCAGACCTTGGCCTCTATGAAGCCCTCTTGCCTTCTAAGCTCTTCTCCACTCTCAGGGGACTGTTATCCAGCCTAAGCAAATGAATTACTCATTGCAGAGTGTGAACCAAGTAATTCTTCTTCCATCACCACAAACCCCTGCCCCAAACAAAAACTACAACCCCCCAAACATTAAAAACCTACACAACCCTACTGCCCCTCCCTATAACTAAGAAAGAAACTTGGCCAAGAGAAACAAAGATACATTCCTTATGTCATTGAAACATGTGATAAATTCAGTTTGTAGTTAAGTAAAATTGTATTGAGACATATAGCACACTAAAACCCTGTTTGCTGAGCCAGCATGGAAAGGGATATGCTTACTTATTTTTTCAATTATGTTCCTAACAACTATAATGTGTGTGTGTGTGTGTGTGTGTGTGTGTGTGTGTGTGTGTGTGTGTGTGTATGTGTGTGTGTGTTTGGCAAAGCCTCTAAGAAGGAAAGTTTTGATAGGCAGTTTTTATTCTATTATTTTCTACTTTTTTGGTTTTTGAGATAAGGTCTCAGTATATGCTCTAGGCCACTCTGAAATTCACTATATGGCCCAGGCTGTCCTCATATTCATGATTCCCCTGCCTCTGACTCCTGCTTGCTGAGATCATAGACTTGTGCTACCATACCTAGTAGAGTTTTTAAATGGAAGAAAAAATATTAATACGGGGAAACGCCCCTACTCCAGTCTGTAAATGTTTACAATGATCATGGAACTGTAGGAGGAGTCTTGATCTTAGAAAATAAAGGACTCAGATTTAAGTAATTATTATGTTCCAAGACCTCCTGCAAGCCACCCCACATCTTAGAGGCCTAGCTTCCTTACCCAGAAGCATGAGAATCCTAGTGCAGCTCCCAGAATTGTTGGATGAGTTGTCTGAGTTGATTGATGGCTGTGGTGGTTTGAATAAGAATGGCCCCCATAGGCTTATATATTTGAATGCCTAGTCACCAAGGCATGGAACTCTTTCGACAGGATTAGAGGCGTGGCCCTGTTGGAGGAAATGTGTCACTGTGGGTGGGTTTTGAGGTTTTAGAAGCCTAAACCAGGCCCAGTGTCAATTGTCTCTCAGCTTGTGGACCAGGATGTAGTTCTCAGCTACTGCTCAGTGCCATGCCGGCCACCATGTTTCCTGCTGTGATGACCATGGACTAAGCCTCTGAAACTGTAAGCCAGCCCCCAGTTAAATGCTTTCTTTCATAAGAGTTGCCTTGGTCACGGTGTCTCTTCCCAGCGATAGAACAGTGACTAAGACAATGGCAAACTAACACTTAGGGATACTAATGGCTTTATTATAAAATTTGATCAGAGCGATTAATACATGACATCTGTCCAACACATTTCTACAAAAGTCTACGCTTTCTGTCAGTAGATTTCCCTGAGTTGTGAGACACTAGGAAGTAGAGCCACAAGCAGGAAGTGAGTGGGAAAGGACAATGTTTACTTATAATAGGGCTAGTCTGTTCTTTGACCCTCACATGTAAGTTATCCCAAATTGGCATCAAGGGGTACGCCCTTATTATGAGCTTGGACTTTTTGAATAGTCAAACTTCTTCCCTTTTCCTCTGGTTTCATTCACCTCACCATTCAGACTTTGAACGATGGCTGTTAATAACTGGGGACACCCTTGCCTGCTGGTTTTTTTTTTTTTTTTGAGCTGAGGATCGAACCCAGGGCCTTGTGCTTGCCAGGCAAGTGCTCTACCACTGAGCTAAATTCCCAACCCTGCCTCCTGTTCTTATGCATACTTTATTGTATACTGGAGATCAGATTTGCTCTCCTTTGTGGATTTAAAACATCTAAATGCTCAGGGGTTAAAGGCCTGCTCCTAATGTGGTGCTATTGGGAGACAGTGGAACCTTCAAGAGGTGGGGCTGGTGCGAAGAAATTAGGGCATACCATAGTGTGGAACCCTCTTCTCTTTCGTTATGCTCTGGCTGTGCAGTGAATGATTTGTTACACAATTCTGTGATGAGATGCAGCCTCACCCTGGGCTCCAAAGCAATCATTGGATCATGGACTGAAGCCTCCATAATCAAATCTTTCTCATTCTTAAGTTATGTATCCAATGTTTTGTTAAAGTAATGGAAAACTGACTAATATAATAATGCACATGTAATTTTGCATGCTAGCCTTTACACATAAAACCATATGTAGATATTTTCCTATTTCTTTAACTTTCTGTAAATCATATTAGCAGACGAAGAACATATATTGGGTACATTCTAATTGACTTAGACAATTACATTACCCATTAAAAAATTTATTTACTTTTATTTTATGTGCATTGGTGTTTTGCCTGCATGTATGTCTGTATGAGGGTGTCAGATCTTGGAGTTATAACAGTTGTGAACTGCCATGTGGGTGCTGGGAATTGAACCCAGGTCCTCTGGAAGAGCAGTGGGTGCTCTCAACCTCTGAGCCATCTCTCCAACTTCCCCATTTTTTAAAACATAAATACCAAGAGTTTGTTAATCTCTCTGACCTAGACCCAAGTCTACATCTTTGTCAGGAGAGCAACCAAGTCTCCACGAGTTATGGTTCTTATGAGAAGTTTCAATAGGCATGGACTTGCAGAGAAGAGATGGGGATGTCTATGAGATTTGAAATATCTGTAACCATTTTAGCTCTCCCCCGGCCCCCTGCAAATTTCTTTTGTGAAGAACAGAACAGCCTGTGGTATTCCGTTTCCTCTGTAAAGTCATCACTGACCTGTCATTTCAGTAGCCTCTTAACAAATGACCCCCCACCCCCACCCCCACCCCCGAGTCAATAGTAATTATAGGAATTTATCACAATTGCCAATCAAGGTGTTCTGGAGAGACTCATCTTTCTTGTTAAATTAGCTTCCACTGCACGCCAACAGTGAGTTATCTTTAGGAAATCAATTGAGGGAAATTGCAGCTTTCATGGAGCAATATAACCTCGCCAGCCATCTTGTTACACAGAATTTCTCTAGCAAGAAATTCTGGTGGGCTTCTCATGGCTTATTTTTTGGGGGGTTGTATGTCAATGGAGCAAACATGGGAGAGCCGGCTAACTTCTGAAAGTCTGAGAAGGAAAGAAGAGCCAAGGACGGACCTTGGGAAAATGTCTTAAGATGCTGCAGCCGGTTAAGTGATCAGCCTGAAAGCAGGCTGGGGCTGGTCACTTCAGAAGCCTTGGATCCAGTGGATTTGAAAGTAGGTGTCAACGGTAGGAGATTCTACTTGCTTCTTTTTCTGTACCCGCAGTAGGAGGAACTGCAGTTGGTGGAGACTTTGAGTAATGAGTGGGATTTTAGAAAAAGCCGTTACAGGGAATTACTATTATTGCTCAGAAGGCTTGGTGATATGGAGTGGTCAGGGTTCATTCACTGACACAGTTGGAGAAGGGGCATTTCAGCACTTGCTCTCCGCAGCAGGCTTCCCCATCACATGTATGGCTGATTGATGCTATAACAAGATGGAAATTAATATGCAATTAGCCTGGAATTACTATGTGGCTTTAAATGAACCAGACTTAGAAATTTTCTATTTACTGGCTGTTTTTTCCTCCTGGAACATTTACAAATGTGTTGGGTGGTGCCAACGTGGGAAATGGGAGAGAGGCCTGGACTGTCTTCAGCACGAGCCCCCTGAGCACAGCTTCTGACAAAGCACTGGACATCGCCAGGAGAGCCTCTAAATGAGCCTTCTGGACATCATGCTGTTTTTGAGAACACCAGGAACAACTTCTTCCTGCAAAAGCTTGGTCCTCCTTTGGTAAGTGGCTAAGTGCAGGCAGGTTCTGGTTGAGGGTTGATGGCAAGGACTACCCTCTATTAATTACTCTTTTATTTGCAACAAAAAAACATGTATCCAGTCTTTATCTCAGACTCTTTAGGCTGATATAAAAAAATCATCAAATGGGCTGCTGAGAGGGACCAGTGGGTAAAGGCACTTGCTGCCAAGAGGTTGGTGTCTGGGACCCACATGGTAGAGAGAACAGACTCCCACTGGTTGACCAGTTGTCCTGTGACTTTTTAGTTGTACACACTAGTACATGCACTCTCTCACACACATATACAAAATGAGTAAAATATAAGATATGATTAAAATATATATCATAATTGACTAGGTGATTTAGAAATAGCAGAAATGTCTCCCAGCTCTTAAGGCTGTGAGACCTGAGCTCAAGGTGGCAGCATGTTTAGGGTTCTGCTGAGGGATTTCTTGTAGTCTGCAGTTTTCAGACATTTCTCTGTACACCCAACATGGCAGAAGAGGCAAGCTCTGGACTTCTTAGCCTCTTATATGGGCATTGGTCCCTTTTATGAGGGCTTTATCTCCATGACCTAATCCTCCACCTAACCCACCATGCTGAGAATCAGGTTTCAGCATATACATTTTGGGCAATATGAACATTTAATTCATATAATGATTCTACATTCCTATCCTCCATTGCTTAATCCTCATTTCAAATGATTCCATGGCAGCAGATGGAGGCTATGACCCCTTTCAGATAGCAGATTTACTGTGGGCTCCCAAGTCAGAGACGAGGGATGGTAGAGTGTTGCCCATACCTGGACATCTCTCAGAAAGCACAGCAGGAGTGCGGCTGCTCCCTACCCACATCAGGCCTTGCTGGGCTCACTCAACTCCAGGGAGACAAAGGCCACGTCATATCAGAGTCAGTTAAGCTTCTGTTTTCCTGCCGGCTCCTCGGGGATCATATGACCTGCAGTCTGCTGACCTGAATGCTTGGAAAGTTCCTGCCTCTGCTGGCTTTGGTATTTGAATGGGCGCATCATTAATGTTTGCCTGTCTTCAATCAGGTCCGCATATGCAAATAAGGTGCATTTCCTCCCTTGTTCATTTGTCCTCCCATCCCTCCTGACTCGAACTGCATAAGCTAGCCCAGTTACTTCAATAAACGAGCCTGTCCTCCGGAAACTGTCTCCTGGGTCATTCATACCTGGCCTACTCACCACAGTCTGAGACAGGAACTCCCCCATCTCCAATCCAGGACTACCGGTACACAAAGGCTGATTGGGGTCAGGGGACCCATAATTTATCATTCTGTGGAATTAAATTTTTTATACACATGCATGAAGTATCTCTTCATAGTTTAAAAATCAGAAATTTAAATAGAAAGCAGGGGTTAGGACTCATGATGACATTATTATCAAAGGGTCACGAAGGCTGGAAGACCCTAGGAAAAGGAGTTAGGGCTATGAGAGATGGCAGCCAATGAAGTAGCATGTGAAAGGGGCTGTTTGTGTGGCAGGGAGGGAACAGCTGACATTTGTCAAGGGTCAAAAACAACAGACCACAAGAGGAAGTTACAGAATACCTTGGGAAAGAGCTATTGACTGTGAGACCTAAAGGGGAAATTGGATCTGAATGTTACCAAGGCCTTGGGCAGTGTGTGGGTGTCTCCTGAACTTTAGAGAGAAGATAAAATGTGTGTGTGTGTGTGTGTGTGTGTGTGTGTGTGTGCATGCAGGCATTGTAGCACATGGATGGATATCAGAGGACAAACCTGGGCACACGTCCTTGCCTTTTTCCTTATTTGAGACAGTCTCTGGGTGGTTCATTGCTGTACACACCAGGCTATCAGAGATTCTTTTGTCTCCATGTCCCATGTCACCAAAAGAGCAACCTGTGGATCATGACCCCTTTAGCTTCAAATGACTGTTTCACAGGGGTTGCCCAAGACCATTGGAAAACACGGTTATTTACATTATGATTCATGGCAGTACTGTGCCCAGGCTAACCTGAATTCTGGGAATTTGAACTCTTAGTTCTCGGACTTTTGTGGCAAGCCATTTCTAAGTTTACTATTGCTGGTGCTGGATAATAATCAGAGACCATTGTTGATAGGATCCTGCCCTCACTCCTTGGGGTATTGCATCTTATGTCATCAGGGGGCGCTGGTGACTATGTACCCACTGAGTGGTCACGGCAATCTGCGCCTTAAAAAAGCTGGACGTGGAACCCCAACCTCTTTCTCTGCTCTCTCTCTGTTCCTTCTCTGCTCCCTGCTCTCTGCTCTGCTCCTGCCATCTCTCCCTTCCCCCAGGCCTGGCTCTCCTCCCTCCTATCCCCTCCTTCCTTCTAATAAAACTCTCTGTAACTCTGGTAGTCACGGCTGTGGCTCATGACTTTTCCACTGGTAACCAGTGCCCCCACCAGCGCCGTTTACCTATCAGTTGTCACCTGTCAGTCCTTTAATAGTGATGACCAAACACCTGCCATATCCAACTCAAGGAGAAGGCTTTGGTCCCCTGAAGAATATCTTGGCAGAGGGAGCATGTGGTAGAGGCTTCTTTCCTTTACTGGATAGGAAACAGGGAGAGAAGAAGGGAAAAGGGAAATACACACCCTTTAAAGATCTTCTACTCCCTGTGATTACTTCCTCTTGCAAGGCCTGGCCTTCCATGGTTTCTACCATCTCTCAAGTACTTCATTCAGATTTTGACTCCATCACTGGGTCTTATGATGTAGTCATCTCCGGAAATGCTCTAACAGACAGAAGTGTGCTTTCCTAACTTCTCAGATAGCCCTTCCTCCAATCAAGTTGACAATCAAGATTAACCATTGCAGACCCCAAGGTAGGTTCTTCCTCTTCACTATGGGACTAGGGAATCAGAGCTTGTGATCTTGATAGTGCCAGTTCCTCTAGGTCAGTGGTTCTCAACCCTCCTAATGCTGCAACCCTTTAATACAGTTCCTCATATAATGTGACCTCCAACCATAAAATTATTTTCATTGCTACTTTATAACTGCGATTTTGCTATTGCTGTGAATCATAATGTAAATATCTATGTTTTCCAATGGTCTTAGGCAACCCCTGTGAAACCGTCATTTGAAGCTGTGGTCGTGATCCACAGGTTGAGAACCACTACTCTAGGCATCAGATCCTATGTCCAGCATCCCATGGGTGCATTTGCTCCCTGCCATCCTGAGTCAGATGCTTTTCTGCATAAACAGCTGCACAATGCACACATCATTTCCACTTTGGGAATGGGGGTCCTGATGCTGCAGAATCAAAGGCTCTGGCTGCAAGGCACAGCTGTTCAGGTGCAGCTAAACAGTTTTCTTTGCCTGTGAGAGTGGCCTTCTAGATGCACAGTGAAATTGAGATGTCTCTGGGATTCTGTTTCTATTCTTTATAGGCTGCAGCTTCTGATGTATGTCAGGGGTGCTAATGTTTGTTGGTTCTACAGGGTGATAGACTGGAGAGATAGCACAAAGGCATAAAATCAACCTGCCACTCCTAGTTTCTCTCCTTGAACTAGTTATGAGCTTAGCAG